ATAAAATGTCAAAAATCGCGATATCTTGTGCAATATTGTTTTTTTTAGCATATAAAATGTTAATAGTGTTGTTTCTATCTTGTGGAATTCTACTCAGAATTGTAATTAAAAGACCGAAAATGCGAAAATAATACTTTTCTCGGAAGATTTAGATATGTATTTATACGATATTAATTAAAAACAATTAAAGCTCCTTTTTCTCTATTATTGTCTTTTTCACTTTCATTTTATTTAAAAATATCAATATAAAAAATATAACTATAACAGTATATCTCTTAGTCTGACTCTTCTTCTTCGACCTGTCCGGCATGAGTGACCCTACCGGTAAACTATTAGCATTTCCGAATAAAGCAAGTTTGATGGCTTTGAGAGCGATTAAACCCAATTTACCATGAATATATATTTGATCAAAAATAGGTTTTGAGAGAATCTGATTAAAATAATATAAAGTATTAATTAATAATTAAATAATATAAATACATTCTCCATTTTTGACGCTATTTTGTTTTTAAAGTATAAGATTCTTTGCCCTGATTAATCAGTCAAACGATTACTCAAAGTATTTCATTGATTAATCTATATAATAATTCAAGTATCCCTAATAATCCAAGACGGAGAATATGACGTCTCTTAATCGGTCTCAGATCAAACTTGCTTCACTCGAAAACGCCATCGAGGAGGAAACATTTTTATTTTTATTTTTTTAATATGTAGGTTTCTTTTAATAAAGGTTTTACAAATTTGTCAAATAAAAAATATAATACATGAAAAGTTATATAAAATACATATAATATATAATTACAAATCATATAATCTATAATTACAAGATATATTACAAAACATTTAAACACATATTGTACAAAGTGTATTACAAAATATATTACAAAATATATAAATATGTATTACAAATATATTAGAATTAATTCTATATATCTGATATAGAACTAATTATATTACAAATATATATTACAAAATATAATACAAAGGTTAATATAAAATATAATTTAAAATGTAATACAAAATCATTTATTATACGAAAATGTCCGAAATATTCATATAATGTAGAATTTACTAGAAATTTTTAGATCAAATATAGCTGATGAAGAACGGTTAATATTTATGATTAATGATTAACATGCAATTAGAAAGCTTATTAAGTTTTATATAATGTAAACAATTCTGATCAAAAGAGTCGTTAATAAAGTTATCAATCGTTTTTAAATTAAGAAGAAAAAAGTACTTACAATTAGATTATACTGGTGCATTTTGCATAGAATTGCAAAGAAAATATCCGAGAAAAGATAGACGAAGCTTCGATGTAAATCAACGATTAAATCACAAAATAAACTACGATTTAAAATTTTCGAAAAAAACGTGATGGATAAATAAATCGATAATAGTCGTAATATTCGCGATTTCAATATACATGCAATCAGAGAAACAACATAATTATTACATACTTAAACGAAAATGTTTCAATGGACATTTTGGCTTTTTATAATCGCGTCTGTAGTATAGGACATTTGTATACAATTTGAATATAAAATCTAATGTCCGATTTATTATCAAATGCGTGATTTTGTTAAATTTGTAAGGTATTAATCGACGGGAATCAGGAAAGGCCGTTAATTCTCAAATGCGTATTTTCGTAGCGGGCGATTTATTCGTCTTGTCTTGTCGAGGGCTCGGGACTGACTGACTCACTCGTCGCGTCCTTCCTTCACCTCGCCTATTTACATTTTCAAATCTATCTCGCTTTGTCCTTACAGTTCGGCCATTCTGACCATTAGGCCGTCCTCGGTTAACGCAGAAGCATACATGTCCATTATCAATACAATCTGTATCACGATGTGAAAACTTAACATAATTCTTCAAATATCTTAAACACATACATATGCGCGAAAATAATTTCCTAGTTGTGGCGTAACCATGGTCGCATATTACACGCCTCCCATACCCCCTGATATGGTCGTTGAGTATTCAAAAACTCGTCAGTATCCGTAATTATGTAACGATTATTACGAAACGTCCGCTTAACTTGATAAGGCCCTTTAAATGTGGGCATTAATTTCTTTGACGCTCCCACGCTACTATCAAAATTTTTTATCATGACTAGGTCTCCGTCCTTATAGATCAATGCAGGCTTCCGTTTTTTATCAACATGCGTCTTATTGTACATTTGAGATTTACGAGTTTTATCGGCAGCGTCATTTCTAACTTTAATAATATCTACTCGCTCAGTATCGTCAGTATAGTGTAAATATTCCTTAAGACTATCGATAGATTTCCCGCGCTGATCAACTCCAAATAATAGCTGACTCGGAGTACACCCGGTACTTACTAACTGAAGTAGTAAGTACCGGGTAAGTAAGTCTTACTAACTGAATTGTTTAATGCGTACTCTATTTCCGGCAAAGTGCCATGCCAAAATTTCCCCGTCGAGTCACCCGACATTTTCCCTAACATGGGAATTTGGACTCGATTGACGCGTTCCACTTGCCCATTGGCTTGAGGCGAACCCGTTGCTACTTTAATGTGTTTTACATTATTTTCCTGCAAAAATTTTAAGAATTCGTTCGAGGTGAAACACCTTCCTCGATCTGTTACAATCACTAAAGGGCGACTATAATTATGAAAGTATTGTTTCAAATGGTGAATAGCTTCCTTGCTAGCTGTCGTTTTAACCGCATATAATTTTACAAATTTAGTGAAAGCATCAACTATAACCAAAATATGTCGCTTAATGGAATGTTTATCTATCGGCCCTATATGGTCAATATGCAAAGTAGCGAATGGAACGTTGCCTTTCGGAATCGTATTCAAAAATTCCTCTGCCTTCCCCGTCTTGGGCGCGTAAGCAATACATTTTAAACAATTTTTAATATGTCCCTCTATCTTCTCTCGCAATTTAGGAAACCAATAATTCTGTAAAATAGCTTGGCTACTTTTCTCAACTCCAAAGTGTCCCATTTCGTCATGATATTTAAAAATAACATTCTTTTCCATCATCTCAGGAACGTAAAACAATAGCTTATCGTCCTTTTTCCTATATACGAGTCCATTACGCAATTCGAAAATTTTACTTTCAGACTGTTCAAGTTGATTCCTCACTTCTACAATTTTCGAATCTTGTCCTTGGCTAATCGTAAGATTCCATTCAAAAGGATTGTCCTCCACAATTCTCACTGTTCGACTAAATGCGTCAACGTATTTCATCCGCACTCCGGGCCTATGTTCTAATTCATAATCATAATTAAGCAATTCTAACGCCCATCTAGCAATCCTAGGGTTAATATTTTTTTTCTTTAAAGTCATGGCAAGAGAATTACAATTGGTAACAATTTTGAATTTGAGATCCTGCAGATAAACTTTAGAACGTTTTAGTGCGTAAATTATTGCAAGAGTCTCCAACTCGTAGCTGTGATATTTCGCTTCCGTCTCCGTGAACCGCTTCAAAAAATAAAACACCGGATGGAACTTGCGATCCGATTTTCTTTGCATTAGAACCGCACCATACCCTATCGCACTCGCGTCACAATGCAATTCGGTTTCGTCTTTCGGATTATAAATGGCTAATATCGGCGCTGTACTAAGCTTGTTCTTTAACGCTTCGAAGACTTTAAGTTCATCTTCACCAAATTTAAATGCCGCGCTCTCTCTGGTTAGATCAGACAACGGCTTCGAAATCATGGAATAATCTTGAATAAATTTTCTAAAATACGAGCACAATTCAAGAAATCGCTGTAATTCGCGCTTAGTTTTAGGTACTGGAAAAGTTGTAACGGCATTGACCCCGTTTATCGTAGGCTTCACACCGTGCTCATTAATAAGATATCCGAGATACTCGATTTCGGTATATAAAAATTTGCATTTATCAAATCTAATCTCCAAGACGTTGTCGACCATTACCTCGAATAAACGCTTTAAGACCTGCAAATGATAATCTAACGTAGTGGTAGCGACGAGCACATCGTCCATATAAACTACAATATCTCCCGCTCTAATAAAATCGGATAACGCATTATTTATAAATCGCTGGAAAGTAGATGGTGCAGTCTTCAGACCAAATGGCATTTTCAACCACTCGAATTGACCTAATGGCGTAACAAATGACGTGTATTTTACAGAATCTGCCGATACGTTGATATGATAGAATCCATCCTTTAAATCTATTAAACTAAAATGTTTTTTCCCGTTTAAGACTTCTAATTGGTCTTCAATTAACGGTAGTGGATAATTATCACGAGCTAATGCTTTGTTTAAAATTCTGAAATCAACACACATCCGTATCTCTCCGTTTTTCTTTCTCGGTAGAACTATAGGCGACGCATATTCCGAATTACTTGGTCTAATATATCCCTTTTCAAGCAAGCGATCTAAAATATCTTGCAATTTTTCTCTCTCGCCATGCGATATTCTACGCGGTGTACAATGAAACAGTTGCAAATCTTTAACTACCAATTTCAACCCTGTTCGAACCCTAGGCTCCCTGGGTCGCTGTGGCTTAACATAATTATCGATGAATAATCGTCGAAATTCATCCCGAGCATAATGTGACGCCCCCGAGTTTATATCTAAACAATCAATAGGATCACTCTGTGTCTCCGCAAGATTAATATTCATAATCTCCTGTGCCTCATCCGTCATATTAGCTTTTGTTAGTACTAACTCAAATTTTCGTAACGCATCGCGACCCAAGACAGCTGGCGTAATCATAGTATTTTCGGGCACAATCAAAATTGTCACATCTTTTCTAGAATCGCCACCTAACGAAATACGAGCCGTGACTTTACCCTTAATAGTCAATTTAGAATTATTAATGCCGCAGTATCGATAATCTAATTCGTTCACCGGCTCAACATTCACGCCGTTAACAATTCTCTCTTTTAAAAAACTAACCGGACTTCCCGTATCCAACAAAGTGTCCAAGCGTAAAACCTGTTGAAGACTAGACCCGGTTATCTCGAACATAACGCTTCGCCGAAAATCCACCTCCGTCGCAGAGTCTTCGTAAACATTAGCAACCTGCGGTTTGTCTCTTTTCGGACAATCATTGGCGAAATGTCCCATCTCCCGGCACTCGTAACACGATCCCCTCTCTCGCCTAGGCCGTCGGCACTCTCTCGATACATGCCCCATTCGATTACAATTATAGCACTTTACTTCAGCCGCTCGCTGTCCGTCCTGCTGTTTCGCCTGTTTAGATTCCGATTTATTAAACGGTTTCCCCGTCGATTTCCATTTTTCTCCTATAGTACTGCGCCTTGAGCGATTCCTCGCTTCCGGTTGGATGATGACTCTCCTAAAGGCCTCCAGCAATGCTCCAGCTGAGTCGTAACAATGGATGCGCGCTTGGTTCCGCAACGAGACATCTCCTATGCCGTCAATCAAATATTCGATTAAATTGTCATCGTCTATCGGTACCTGATTAGCCAATATAAGTTTATCATGGTAATAATCAGCAAAAGCCTCGCCTGAACTCCATGTTCTGGCTTCGAATTTTCTCTGACGTTCCACCCTACTGAGCCGACAGTCAAAAGCGATCTTCATTCCCCCCATCAACTCGTCCATAGTCATCTCAAGATTCCGCGATCGTGAGTGAAACCACTGTGCTGCTCGACCCTTTAACTTTGAACTGATAAGAATCTTAGCCATATTGTCATCAAGTTCATATGTTTGGCACAATAACCTGACCTGTTTTTCCCACTCGCCGAAGTCACGATCCGTTCCGTTGAATTCGCTTAGAAGGTCACTTACCGCTCTAATATTTACAGGCCTCCCGCTGTTTGAATTATTACCGGCTCGTTGAGAGTTCCTCAATATCTCCATCTCTTGCTGAGCAACCTCGAGCTCTCTCGTCATCAGAGCTCTCTCTCTCCGCATTAATTCTAATTCGCGCAAAAGAAAGTCGTTTCGATGGCGCACATCCCGTCGAAATTCATCCCGAGCATAATGTGACGCCCCCGAGTTTATATCTAAACAATCAATAGGATCACTCTGTGTCTCCGCAAGATTAATATTCATAATCTCCTGTGCCTCATCCGTCATATTAGCTTTTGTTAGTACTAACTCAAATTTTCGTAACGCATCGCGACCCAAGACAGCTGGCGTAATCATAGTATTTTCGGGCACAATCAAAATTGTCACATCTTTTCTAGAATCGCCACCTAACGAAATACGAGCCGTGACTTTACCCTTAATAGTCAATTTAGAATTATTAATGCCGCAGTATCGATAATCTAATTCGTTCACCGGCTCAACATTCACGCCGTTAACAATTCTCTCTTTTAAAAAACTAACCGGACTTCCCGTATCCAACAAAGTGTCCAAGCGTAAAACCTGTTGAAGACTAGACCCGGTTATCTCGAACATAACGCTTCGCCGAAAATCCACCTCCGTCGCAGAGTCTTCGTAAACATTAGCAACCTGCGGTTTGTCTCTTTTCGGACAATCATTGGCGAAATGTCCCATCTCCCCGCACTCGTAACACGATCCCCTCTCTCGCCTAGGCCGTCGGCACTCTCTCGATACATGCCCCATTCGATTACAATTATAGCACTTTACTTCAGCCGCTCGCTGTCCGTCCTGCTGTTTCGCCTGTTTAGATTCCGATTTATTAAACGGTTTCCCCGTCGATTTCCATTTTTCTCCTATAGTACTGCGCCTTGAGCGATTCCTCGCTTCCGGTTGGATGATGACTCTCCTAAAGGCCTCCAGCAATGCTCCAGCTGAGTCGTAACAATGGATGCGCGCTTGGTTCCGCAACGAGACATCTCCTATGCCGTCAATCAAATATTCGATTAAATTGTCATCGTCTATCGGTACCTGATTAGCCAATATAAGTTTATCATGGTAATAATCAGCAAAAGCCTCGCCTGAACTCCATGTTCTGGCTTCGAATTTTCTCTGACGTTCCACCCTACTGAGCCGACAGTCAAAAGCGATCTTCATTCCCCCCATCAACTCGTCCATAGTCATCTCAAGATTCCGCGATCGTGAGTGAAACCACTGTGCTGCTCGACCCTTTAACTTTGAACTGATAAGAATCTTAGCCATATTGTCATCAAGTTCATATGTTTGGCACAATAACCTGACCTGTTTTTCCCACTCGCCGAAGTCACGATCCGTTCCGTTGAATTCGCTTAGAAGGTCACTTACCGCTCTAATATTTACAGGCCTCCCGCTGTTTGAATTATTACCGGCTCGTTGAGAGTTCCTCAATATCTCCATCTCTTGCTGAGCAACCTCGAGCTCTCTCGCCATCAGAGCTCTCTCTCTCTCCGCATTAATTCTAATTCGCGCAAAAGAAAGTCGTTTCGATGGCGCACATCCGCCGACTCACGACGCAAATACGGCCTCCGCGTCGCGTCCGCCTGGCTTTGCTCCCCTTGTTCGCACGGGCCTGAATTCTCCCGCGGTGCGTTATCCTCCTCTCCGAAACAACTCCCCTCTTCATCCCGCGATGGCTCCCCTCGCGGCTCCTGCATCTCCGACATCCAGTCACCTGCCGGATTCGCCGATGCAATTATCGCAACTAACTCCGCCTTCGTTCCCGCGGTTGACAGCTGATGATTTTTGAGAATTGTCTTTAATTGCACACTCGTGAGTTTACTCAGTCTATCCATAATATAAAGCTCAATTTAATGTTACAGTCCTGTCCCGACGTTCGCAACGCTGCTCCGATAATACCAGTTTCACCTCGATGACACTCAATATTTTGATATACTATTGCGACGGTTTAACGATACCTGTCGAATATGGCGATCAAAAATTCCAGAATACAGTTTGATTTCTTTGTTCCCTTCTCTTAAAACGGCGATCGAAAATTCAGGTCCAGACTTCTCAGCAATGCTCAGACCATCGACATCCTCTCGAATCCAGGTCTCCACCCAGAAACTCCGCCGCCGTCACTCAACAGTCAATCCTCCTTTTCGAAAATTCGCATGCGACACATGCAACGATGCCACGTACAGCACACACGATTCATACGCAGTCTCAAATTTTACAACGTCTATCATAAACAATGCACCGTAATTTCTTTATCGCGGATCGCAAGTCACAGATCCCACTTCTGAGAATAATGTAAGGTATTAATCGACGGGAATCAGGAAAGGCCGTTAATTCTCAAATGCGTATTTTCGTAGCGGGCGATTTATTCGTCTTGTCTTGTCGAGGGCTCGGGACTGACTGACTCACTCGTCGCGTCCTTCCTTCACCTCGCCTATTTACATTTTCAAATCTATCTCGCTTTGTCCTTACAAATTAAATTAAATTAAATTAAATTTTGCGATTAAAAATAAGATATGTGTACCGTTTCGCGGAGGATTGACTAAACAGGGTAAAACCATATAAGTCTTAAAATACCGTTATAAAAAAAACTGCGCGTTATCGCCGCGTTCAGTGGATGATAACTGGCTCAACGATTTGACCAGATCAAGATCCCTCCGTTAGATAATACGCCGGTTAATATCCGACAAAGACAAGAACAATCCTAAAGGTGGAGAACGATCAAATTCTTGTTTCTACGTCGGACTCCGCAAGATCAATCCGAAAAGAAAAGTTAAGTGATCCGTTGAATATCAGGAGCCCCGCTGCAGGAGGGAACGAATCCCAAATCTTCCGGACTGTTCCCGATAGCAATGATTTCGATAACGAATCAACGACAGTTACCATTCTAGTCATTATCTTTAATTCACGAGATTAAAACTCGCGCGAGAAAATGTGTCCTTCCATTATTAAGAAATATATCTCTTCATTGAAAATTAAATGGATATAATAATTTTTATGAAAATGTGATTACGAACGACTATATTTATGAATAATAAAATACATGTATTGCATTATTGTAAATAATATAATAATAATTACAATTAATTATTGTACAATCATAATTAGAGTACAATTTACAAATAATAATGCTATCAGTATATCAAATAGATATATCTGATATATCCAATAATGTAGATAATTGATACTGAACAGCATTTACTTCAAGAGTTTAACATTACATAAATTTATATAACAATATAATAAATATATATACAAGTTTAAATATATAAAATAAAATGTAATATACATGTATTACATTTTATTTTGTACATAATATATATATATGCAATTTTTTATTTATAAAAAAAGATGTAGCATGTGTGCTATCTTTGAAATTTTTAATAATTAGTTTTAATTTTTTTGCTAGTTACTTTTTAATTTAAATCGTAGAAAAATTAAAATTATTAATTTTTCTACAAATTTTGTATAATTAATTTTCACTTTTTAATTCTTCTCAAATAATCCTACTTATTAGTTTTCTAAAGAATTTTAAGGAATTAAATAACTATCTTAAATTAAAATAGTCCTAATAAATAGTCCTAACAATCCTATTTTTGCTGGCTAAGCCAGCGAGAATCCGGGATCACACTTTGGAGAGTGTGTCTTAATCGCGCACCCTAATCGCGTGCCTTACTCGGGTGCCCTACTCGCGTGCCCTAATAGAATGCACCGATAGCATTCTTGATTACGTGCCATTGCACGTAGAAATGCACAAACACATGTATTGCTCAACATGTGTTTTTTTCCGCCTTTTGACCACGATATTGGTCAACTATGTTGCTTCCGTTGGGCCGGCCAGTTGGACCTACCTTTCGTTGATCCTGGCCATATTCAATCTGACTACATCTAGCCAGAGGTGTAGCTTCGACCTCTATCAGAGGACAATGAAGGAGAAAAATTCCTTCCGTTGCCGGCTAATTATTATCGCCGGTGCATGAGCGTAATTTTACGCTCGTTGACGGCCGTAATACGTTAGGACCGTTTGTTGTACATTGTTTTAATATAACTTTGCTTTAACTGATATACAATGTCAAATCATTAATTAAAAATTGTGATTGATTAAAATTTTTGTAATATATAATATTACTCTTTTAATACAATTATAATAGAATTAAGTAAACATTTACTTTTATATATTTTTTACTATACTTTTACTTTATATTATTATTATTCACTTATTTCTTTAAATATTATACATGATTTGATTGATCGATTACTTAAATTTATATCAGTCAAAACAAAGTTTTCTGATATGCTACACTACATATAGATGGATGGACTGTAAAATATTAAATAAAACGTGTGTTATAAGAATAAATTATTATATACATAATAATAAAATTAGTGACACGTTCTTTATTAAATAAATAATTGATAGATAATTGATTACACAGAATGATAAAGAATGAATTGATAGTGAATTGAAAGTTTTTTTACATTTATTTATTTATGTTTTAGTTTGCTTTTGTAATATGTTTTAATGCAAATTTCTATTAAATAAATGTCAAAAGTTATGTGTGTAATCTAATTTATTCTAGTCCATCCAATTTAAGATAACGGATCCATCTATAATCTACAAGCTACAATCTATATCTACAATCTCTAAAAATCCGTTATCTTAAAATTAAATAAAAGTTTGTCACCGACACTGATGCGCAACAGCGGAGTTGTTGGTCTTGAAGCTACGTTGTCTGCAACATACAAATATAAAATCCAAATTATAGCAACATTTAATATAATTAATATTTCAAGAAATTATTATTGTACGCATCGAATTTTATATCCGGTGGGAGCAATAATAAGCAGGCATATAAATATGGAATAATTTTATAAGGTCTAAAAAAGAAAACAATTTTTTTTAAGTAGAAACTTTTATATAAGAGATTTATATAAGAGTTCTTCTCTTTGTGCAAATCACTCTTGTTTAAAGTATTCAAATAAATGAACCGAATTAATGCATGTACGGGATGTATAATAATACTCACCCTTAGGTTGCTCCGCCGGTGCAGGATGCCTCTCCTAGGCCTCCTCCTCCTCTCAGAATGTCAGGGTCGCTACGTTGCTCTGCAACATGCAAATAGAAGATCCAAATTGTAGCAGCGCTCAAAATAATTAATATTTTAAAAAATTTATTATATGCATTGAATTTTATATTTGATCCATATAATAATATGCAGATTAATAAAATAATTTTATAAATTTTGGTAAAAGCACTATTAATAACTCTAATAATTCCATATAAAAGCTATAATCTAAAAGTAGAAAA